AAGCAAAATCAATACTATTGGCTTAATGTATATTCAAAAAAATTTGGTTTTATACTTTTTAAAATATAATTCGATAATTTATAAGATTATTTATATAATTATACTAGTAAGAATTATTCAAGTGTTTAAAGATTAATAGTTCTTTTTTGAGTGAAACTTCCATTTTCAAAAATCAACCAATCCCTCGTCAGCTGTTTTTTAGAATAGAATACATATTTGCTTGTGAAAAAAGCCTTAAATAAATTTAAAATTGTTATCCAAATTATTTGGAATAGATATTTATACATAGAATTTTCTTTATCTAAAATTCTCTTAACACTTTATTAGTAATTTCTAAAATACAATTAAATTACTTATTTAATATATTATAATTGAAATCCTAACTAGAACTTAATTCTTTTCTATTATGATTAAACTATTTTATAATGAAAGTTAAAGAAATTAAACTTCTAAAAATAAATTGATCAATAAGAATTATATATTTATACCTTAAAGTTTTTCAAATAAAAATGACATCAACTATAGATTTAGTATTTGTAATTAGCCTATTTTGCTAATTAATTCTTAGATTTATTACTACGCTTAGATTTATAATTCATTTAATTTTTATTTAGAATTATTCATTATTATTTTGTTCTTCTTTCAACTTTTTATTTAATAATTCATTCTCTTTTTCTTAATTTTTTAAGCTTATCGATTATTACATTCTAATCTTTTAATCTTTTTTTAAGGTGCTCACCATTTATTTGTTTATCTAATTGATTAACAAAAATTATACTTTCTTATTATGATTTTTAATAATCTTACTGCAAAGTTTCTAACTAATTTTATAAGTTATCAATTTCACAAAATTTCTTTAACTATTTAAAATCATTTTCAAATTTATTAGTATAATCTTCAACTTACTTTTCAAAGTTTTTCAGATTCAGATGATCTGGAACTGATTTAAATTTATTTTTAATAACATTAATTCTAGTAAGGTGTTGGTAAAATTTTTAAATACTTTGATTAAATAAGCACACCTAGCAATAAAGTATTTTGAAGAATTTATCAATTAGTCTAATTCTTGTTTTACTATCATTTATTCTTAATTTACTCTTGTGTTTTCCTAAAGTTATTATGATAATAAAACAATCCCTTGGATTTGATTATCATTTAAAAATATGAATTTTTCATAACTTTAGATATCTTGTAAAATATTAATTGACTCTTAAATGTCTAATTAATCATGCTATTTTATGTATTCCAATCTGCTTTCAATCTTTTTTGAAAATAAAGAATCTTTAGATTTCGCATACTCAATTCTGGAATCTTAAACCAAATTTTCTTTACCATACCGAATCAAATAATTAATATTTTAAAACAATTCTTCTTAGCTTAATCCTTGAATAGATGTTTATTTAAATTTACCAATCTCATTAGTTTTATTCATTGGTCGAGAATTTTTTGATTAATTTTTCATTAATTTCTTAAAGTTATTAATTGTAATTCTTTCTCATGATTGCAATTTATTGATTCAATTTTTCTTATTTTTCTTATCTCTTTAATTTCAATTCATTTAAAATTCGATCTTATTGGTTTTTTTATGATTCCATTCTTAATTTACTTTTTCAATCATCCTATTAACATTTGGAGTGATCGACAATACAGACAACGCACAGAAATCTATCTTCAATTTTTTTATTCTTCTCATCCATATCTATCATTATGACTTCCTTATTATTAGTAGGGCATACTCTATTTAATGTTGGTGTTTTCTAAAAAATTAATTACCATTTTACTTTAGTATTTTTATTTTGCAGACGAATTATTTCAATTTTGATATTTTCATTTATTTCATTAATTTTCTATTTAGCATCCTTAAAAATGTTAATTGATTAGAAGTACGAAACATTATTAAATAATAGTTCAAATTATTAAAAATTACATCAATAAATTAACTATCTTATTAAAATTTCATTTAACTATCTCAAGTATCTGTTGAAAGAAATTCAGATAATGATTTAACATCTTCTTAGAAATTGGGCAATATTCAATTGTTTTCTAATAAGGATTATTTTTCTTATTAAATTGTAAAGATTTGGGCTTTGATTTGACTATAAATCTTTTCTAATGTATTTTCAATCTATTTCGTCTTATTTTATTATTTTTAGGTCTTAAAAGATTAAATTCTTTCTTTTGTCTAATCAATAATTGAAATTTTGTTATTGTTAATTTTCTCTACTAAACAATCACAGTACATATATTAGAATTTAACCTTTTTGTATGTTTCCAGATCTACAGCAACTACCTCAAGTTTATGAATTTGGCACACCATTTCTCGAATCTCATGCTTTTGTTATTGTATTTATGATGATAGAATATTCATTTGTTTATGATTTTTTAATAGAATATTATTCATTCTAGTATGAATAAAATAAATAATCAAATTCTATTAAATTAAATTTTATTTTTTTTAATGATTAATTTAAAGAGAATAAAAGGTATTAAATGAAAATTAATGCAAAAAATTCATGAAGCATTAAATCGAAAGATAATTATTAACAATACCAGAAAGTGTAATTGAGGTTAATTTTATGTGAAAGAAATCTTGTTTATTGAGAAGAATATTTATAGTACAGCTTCAAATTATCTAATAATAAACAATTATAATATCAATAGTAATACATATCTCTAAAAGGGAAAATTAACTGATGTTATTTTAGAATGAATTAAATTCAATGAATTTAATGGAAATCTTGAAAGAGAATATTGTACATGAAACAATAAAGAAAACACAGATATGCAATTATATTTGATGATGCTTAACGTATAAGAGTAGAAGCGTTAATGTAAAGATAGAAATTAAGATGGAAACATAGAAATCAATTTTTTTATTCTTTAACATCGAACAAAGTTAGAGTAAAAAAGAGGAGGGTGATTTCAGAAGTTATATTTCCAGATAATCATTATTTTGAATTAAACTATGTATAAATTGTTATCGTTTTTTTTAAATTACAAATCTTGGTATTTATTCTAATAGAAATTACCTTTATTCTCTTTAGCTGAGAATATCTATAAATATAGAGAATACTCTTTATTATTCATAATTATTTAAACTATTTTTCATACACTATCTCTAGCTGTAATAAATTATTTTTATTGATTTTGATGAATCAAAAACATTTAATCAAATTAATTTTAATACCAACTATAAATACCTGGTTGTAAGGTTAAATAATTATGGAGAAGTCTTAGATGAAATTTTTTAACCTATGTTTTTAAGTAAGTTTAAATGATTTTGTATTTATAAGAATTATTGATACAGTAATTTGATACTATGTAATATCAATACTTTGAAATGTAATTGGAATTTTAAGTTAATTTAAAACAAAAAACATTAATAGTAGTAGACAAATATTTAAATAGTTGATAATTTAATTAGATTTTATAATTCATTTTATTTAAATAGGTTATATGTATAATAAAGATATAAATCTATTATATATTAATTAAAATGTTAAATAGAATCATAATTAATATAATATAGAATTTATAAAGTATGTTCATACAATTAAAATAATTATCATAGATGATGGACAAATTATCTGATTTGAATAAGAAAAGATTAAAAATCCCAAGTTATCAAGAATTATCCATCATGGCTCATTGTTCCAAATATTTAACTCAATAAAACTTTTTTTTAATTCATCACCTATTATAATTTACACTCTAATATTTCTTCTTCTGTTGAAAGTACTTTACTTATTAAATTCAGTTTGCATCCATTTTTAACAAGTAGAAAATTTTCGAAGATGTATGGTTACAAAAAAATATAATTAATCCAATCAGAATGACCTTTAATTTTTATTATGTATTTGATTTATCATTAAGTTAGATGACCAAATAATTATTTAACCACCTCAAGATCCTGAAATAAACCATTGTTTCATTTAAAAAAAGTCTAGAGTTTTGATACTATTTAAGTTCAGCACACTATTTTAGTTTAGCACCAATACCTTATTCTACAATAGGTAAATAATTATTGAAGGTTTATTAGCTGGCGCATTTTTTTATTTTATTTCATTAACAATTATAGTTTAATTACACCGTGAAGAAGATGCAATTGAATATTCTGATATGTAACTTAAGATCAACCCAAGAGGCAATATAGCTCTTGGCAATAAGGGTATCACTAAATTCAATGATTAAGGAGTTGCATTATTTCATTTAAATAGGTTAGAAGAAGCTGTTGAGTTTTTTGACTAGGCCCTTTCTATATCATAGAATAATCCTATTATAAATTTACTATTGAGTATACTTAATTTTGAATAATCATTTAGGAACTGCATTATCGTAAAATATAATTTATATCCCGATATTCAATCTAGGAAGAAGAATCTATTGAATATTTTGATATGGTCATCGATAACAATCCAAAATTTTTTGATGCTTATTTGAGAAAAAGTAGGTTTAATCTAACTTAATAACTTAAGGAATGTCATTTTATCATATTTTGATTGATCAAATCCTATATTTAATCTATACAGATATGTAGAGGGCATTGAGACTTTTGACTAATTAATTTAATTAAAGCCAAATAATTATTAAGCATTTTATCAAAAAGGTAAATGTGAAATGCTACAATTTTAGGAAGATCTCTAATTAATTCAGGTAGATTTGAGGAGGCAATTGTATCTTTAAACTAAGCCCTTAACTTCAATTCATATGTATTTTCATTTGGAAATCTAGGGGTATATTAAATTTGACTAAAAAATTAGGAAGATTGCTATTGAAAATGAATAGATTCGAAGAGGCTATTCTATGATTTAAAACTTCATTCTAATTAAACCTAAAATGATAATCTAGCTATTGAAAAGATTGGTAAAATTTATAATCTTAAATTTTAGGAGTTACATTAGAGAGTTTAAATAGAATTGACGAAGCAATCGCTTTTATTTTTTAAGCTGTAATAAATAATCCGCAATCTCATGTTGCAATATTTTAAATGTGTAGATTTTTAATCTTATAATTAAAGCAAAAACTTTATTAAACGAGTAATATTTATCAATATATTAAAAATCGGGAGCTTTGAAGAAGGCTTAAAATTTTCACAATAAGCCTTAAGTATATAACCTCAGAATCAATAATATTTACTGCTTTATTGTAATTATTTATATAACTTAGGCAAAGGTGTTTATTTTTAATAACAAAATCTTTGTTATATTTATGTAATAATTGTGAAAAATATCTTTGGAATAAAATTAATGAAGGGAATTCTATATATTAGAAAATATTATAATACAAAAAAACAAATATTTCTATTAAATTATCATTGTTACATCTTTAAAGAAATGGCTATAAAAAAATTATGAATAATATTCCTGATATTGACTTAATAAGAAAATAATTAAAACAAAAAATATTTTTATTTTATTAATAAAGAGTGATTTGAGAACATTTATATGCTGAAATAACTTTTGATTAACTGCTATTATTACAATAAATTAAGAGTTGAAATCAATTAAAATTATTGCTGAAACAAATTATGATAAAGCCGAAATCAATCACAAGCCTCAAAATGTTTTATTTTTTTAGTTTAGAATTTGTAGTTAAAAAGTTTTAACTTATAAATAATATCAATTCCAACATGCTTTAGAATATATTTTGTTGTCATTAATCTAATCATTATCAATTTCTAAAATCTTAAAAACACAGTTTGCAAATCTGTCTAACAAAATTTTTAATTTTATTTGTGATATAGAATCAATTGATTAATTAGTTCTAACTTGATTTTTCAAATAATGTAATTGATAAAAAAAAATTATCTTTTAATTTTTTCCCCAGCAGGTGGGGAAAAGATACAATTCTTAAATGGTCTTCTCATTTGTTCTCACTCGGAGAAGAGGCTTTGAAGAGTGAGAATAATCGATTGCTCTGCCTAGGAGCTCGGAGTTAAGACTTTCTGATCCATTGAATATGGATTGGATCATTAACCTAATATAGTCAAATGAATCACTTAGACCCAGCTGACGAGAACACTCGTTGT